TATGTGGCTAAATCCCATTATGCAGTGTGGGAAGCACAGTTCGATCAGCGCTGCCATTTGACCCGCTATTAAAAACCCCAAATTTAATTCAAAAAATGTTCATAACTTCAAATTTGTATAGGAATTTCATTTCTAATTCAATTTTGGAGTTCTTGGGTTTGTTCTGTTCATATTTTCTTCTAGTTTTTTTGTAAAAATAAAATAATATTATTTTAAGTAAAACTATGTTAGTTACTAAAAAAATACATAAAACCTTATTTTGATTTTAAAAAAATATATATAAATTACTTTGACTTGAATTTTGGTAGAGGTATAACAGGGTTTATTTCTAATCTCCCTTAATTTTCCAAAGGCCATTTGATTCATTTCTAATCATTTACATATCTAACACCTCAAAATTTAATATTACTCTTATACCACCAAAAACTCATACTTGACATCACTTATACCACTCTGTTTTTATCGGACCTCACGCCGTATATCTTCCCGCCGGGAATACCTTGCTCGCCTACAGTCAGAATACCTACCAGCTGCTCGTGATCAGATCGCTGCTAGCGTCCCTAGACGGTTAAGCTCACTGCTCGCGATCAGACCGCCGAAGGGGAACTCTGGACGGGGCTACAGTTGCAGGAAGCTGGACGGGGCAAGTCGAAGAAATGAAAAAGTCACTGCATTTCCGATCTCAAGCTCCAGCACCTCTCTGCATCTTGTTTCTTCCGGACCAGCCACAAGCAGAGAGAGAGAGAGAGAGAGAGAGAGAGAGAGAGAGAGAGAGATTTCTCTCTTACCTGTAGTTGTAACACCTCTGCCGATCTCCTCTCCAACAAAGCTCCCAACCTGAGCTCTTCATCCCGGATCTCCTCTTCTCTTCTTGAAGCAGACGCCTACAAGCCCTCACCCATCCAAGCCATAGGTTAAACCGACTTCTTCCTCCCTGCTCTCGATTTGGAACTTTCGATCTCTACCCAGCTCCCTATCTGAAATGGCTGTGAAGTTTAGGCAGACGGCGTGGTAAAAATGAGGTAAATAAAGGATTTGGGTGGTATAAGAGTAATATTAAATTTTGAGGTATTACATATGTAAATGGTTAGAAATATAGTGGTATGTATGTAAATTTCTCAAGAAATAAATAAGCTGGAAGTGGGGCCCACCAAAGCAGCGAGCAACCGACGCCAGCTTAAACTTAAAAAGCTTACTGTACCGGAAGCCATCGTTTGCCACGTGTTACCAATACCACGTGTCACGCGTGGCACCGACAGAAATCGAATCGTTGAATTGTAAACGACTTGTTTGCAGCCGTGAGATTGTCAACGAACGGCCAGATGTGCGCCTAAGAGATGTTACTAGCAATATCCGATATTTAAGGCAGATTGTTGAGGCGGTGAGTGTGACCGTGTTGCTGCCGGGCAAAACAAGATGCAGATGGCTGAACAAATCTGGGCCGTTGATTTCAATCATGCGGCGGAGATTTATTTGACTGTAAGCTTAGGGATGAGAAGCGATTTTCGGGGATTTTTTTGGGTTTATTTATTTATTAGGAGGGGTTTGTGGTTGGGGGCTTAGTCAATTCAGATAAGATAATAAATTGATACTTTTAGGTAGATAAATTAATACATTATATGAATTTTAATAGGGAATTTCTCACATTTCCCAAAAAAAAAAAAAAAAAATTAGAGTGTAAAAATCAATGCTTTAAAAACAGAACCGGTTAGGCCGGTTCAACAGTTGAAATGCTAATCGGCCGGTCAGCCAGTTACAGTTTACTATAAAATCAGTTTCACACAAAACCACTATTGAACTGTTCGAATCAGCGGTTCGGCTGTCAAACCATAAAATCGGTCCCAATTTTGAATAACTGAACGGTTCATTTGAAAACTAATTTGAGTGGTTCAGACCAAATTGAATGGCCTAAAATTAACTAAAATAAAATTTATATTTATACGAAACGAAGAAAAAAAAAACCCTATTTATCTCATATTTATTTTATTTTCAGAACGTCACCAATTGCAAATATAAACTATAAGATCTCAAGAGATTTTAATTTCATCTCTCAGATTATGATTACAAAGAGGTCAGCTGCTCAAAATAATAATATATTTAGTTTTAAATTTATAGAATTTATTTGTTATATTTTTTTAATTGTTTCGTATTATGATGATTCAATTCAACTTTTGTTATATATTTACAAATAATTATGTCATTATTGTAATATTTAAATATAATAAATGTTTATTATGTCATCTGATTTGGATCTAGTTTAATCCCGGTCAAACTATCGAACTGCTAATCTCTCCTCATTCCAGTTCATTGTCTGGTCCGATTTTCAAAACCATAGAAAGAATAGGTTATGGGTGAAGTTCGCTTCCAATCCAAAGTTGATCTGATTTAAATCCAATCAATATGAGTCTAACCTATTTAATGAATTAATAAATAAGTATTTGCTATAAATAAATGAAATATAATTTATTTACTAAAATGTTAATTTTATTTATTATTTTTTTGGGACATTTAGGCCAATTAAGACAAATTCGTTCACATTTTACATACACAAAGACTCAAATCTAATACCTCTTAGTTTGAAGCCTAAGCTCTAACCAACAGACCAATATGTGTAATTTTATATATTTTCAATGAAAACAAAATTTTAAAAATTAGATTTTTTTTTATTGCTGATATAAAACGCTAATCTTGAAATCAGAATTTAAGAGATTATTTGTTTAAAATTTGTAATGTTAGATTTTAAAATTATTGCGTCCTAGAATATTTGCGGCGGTAGAGAAATATGAAGTTTAACATCATATCATTGCACAAAGATCCAGCACACAATCAGATAAGAGAGAGAGTGTAGCGTGCATAAGAGACACTAGAGTTTTTTGTGTGGAAACCCTTGAAAAGGGGAAAAATCGCAGGGTCTAGCCCAGTTTGAATGAATACACTACTATTTGCAGTCGATTACAAATGAGGCCCTTCTTTGGGAGAAGGCCTTGGCTTGATGGTATAAATGTACATCATATAGAGCACATTACATTGTGTGAGTTACAATATAGACATGTTTATTTGGTTGGTACGGTCATAGTCGATATAATAGAGGTCGGAAAGATCGTTGTCTGGTGATGGAGATCGAAAGGACCATAGTATGCAACAAAGGTCGGAAGGACCATAACTGGCAGGAGATAGGGGTCTGAAAGACTGTAGTTGGTAGGAGACTAGGATCTCAAAGACCATAATTATAGGGGTGTATTCTGATAGAACTCTGGGCGTCAGGTGGCGGCCTAGCAGAAGTCCGAGCCTTAAGTGGTGGTCCGGTAGATGACCAAACCTCAGGTGGTGGTCTGGTATAAGTTCAGGCATAAGGTGGAGGTCTGGAAAAACTTTGGGCGTCAGTTGGTTGTCCGACAGAACTCTGGGCGTGAGGTGTTGGTCTGGTAAAAGTTCAAGCCTCAGGTGGTGGTCCGGGAGAAGTTCGGGCCTTAAGTGTTGGATCAACAGAAGTCTAGGCCTCAGGTGGTGGTCCGGCATAACTCCGGGCGTCAGGTGGTGGTCCGGCGGAACCTAGGGCCTCAAGTGGTGGTTTGACAGAGCTCAGAGCCTCAAGTGGTGGTCTAGCGGAGGTGATGGCTTCAAGTGGTGGTCTGGAGGAGCTCAGGGCCTTAAGTGGTGGTCCGATAGAGCAATGACATCAAGCGGTGGTCCGACGGAGGAATGACATCAAGCGGTGGTCCGGTGAAGTTGAGGGCCTTAAGTGGTGGTCCGGCGGAACTCAGGGCCTTAAGTGATGGTCCAGCGGAGAATCGACGTCAGGCGGTAGTCCGGTGGAGGTGAGGGCCTCAAGTGGTGGTCCAGCGGAGCTCAAGGCCTTAAGTGGTGGTCTGGCGGAGCAACGACATCAGGCGATGGTTCGGTAGAGGTGAGGGCCTCAAGTGATGGTCCAACGGAGCTTAGGGTATTAAGTGGTAGTCTGACGGAGTAATAATGTTAGGCGGTGGTTCGACGGAGGTGAGGGCCTCATGTGGTGGTCTAACGGAGCTCATGGCCTTAAGTTATGGTCTGACGGAGCAACGACGTCAGGAGGTGGTCCCGGGAAGGTGAGGGCCTCAAGTTGCTGTTCGGCAGAGTAACGACGTCAGGCGGTGGTCCGGCAGAACTCAGGCGGTGGTCGAGGAGGAGCGAGGAGGCAAGAGGGATCTCCGATCTCTCTATTGTTCTCTTGCTTGGAGCCTCCTCCTAAAGAGAAATGAATAGTATATTTATAGATTTCTAAAGTGACATGATCTGTAAATAGGAGAAGGATCAAGGGCAAATGGGGAGTGGTTGGATGGACGGCCGATGTTGAACCCCTTGATCGTGGACCTTTTGATGGACATTTGAATGTCTTAGTGATGTCTAAAATCAATGAACTTGGGCTCGTTGGATTCGTCTTGTCGAGCCTCTCGATTAGACTATAAGCAAGTCATGTTTGATAATCCAAATTATGGTTAGAAACCTCAAATAGCACTTTAGATCATTTGATTTGGACTTATTTGGGCTCAGATTTAGTCGAATTTGGCATCGTTGGGTTTGTATTTCTGAGACGTTCAGTTTGAATGTAAGTTGGCTGAAATCGGAGTTCAGATGGTTCCAATTTTAATTTCGGAAGTTTCCAACTTGATTTTGCCTCGAGATTCATGCCCGATCAAAATAATTTTTCATTGATGCATAAAAAATAATCATAATAATTGTACACTTATAAATAAATAAATTATCATACACAACAAATAATAATAATAATTACATTAATATGAGTAATTTTAAATAAATTTAAGTAATATTATTATAATCTAATAGTTTAAACAAAATCCTTATATATTCGACCAAAAGATTAATCACTTAAATCTCTTTCATTATAAAATTTTAAAAATATTATCATTTTAGTCAACAAAAAGTCCGAAATGTCCAGACAATTATAAGATTTATAGAAACACCCCTTGTCTTGTCATTTATAAAACTACTGTGAAGTTCCAGATGGATGATCTTCGGAAGGAGAAGTGTTACTCTCTCCTTCCTCCATAACCCTCTTCACCTCCTCCTCCACATCCACCTTCACTTCAGCCACAAAACCTAACCCTTAATCACCACCCGCCTAAGCCAAGACCCCGAGGCATACCAATGGCTGATAGGGTTTACCCTTCGGCGAAACCAAACCCTAACCCTCCTCAATCCGCCGCTAACGGCGCCGCAACAGCCACAAACGGCGGTGGCGGAACCCAGCCATCCTTCCCACCGACGAAATCTCAACTCTACAATCGCCCGATGTACCGCCCTCAACCGCCAGCGAAACGCAGGCGAACTCGCCGCGGATGCTGCCGCGCATGCTGCTGCTGGCTCGTTCTCATCCTCATCTCCCTCATCATCCTCGCCGCGCTTGCCGGCGGCATCTTCTACATCCTATATCGTCCCCAACGCCCTAATTTCTCAGTCTCTTCTGTCCAACTCACAACCCTCAATGTCTCCGCATCAAACCAGGTAACATCTAAGCTTAACATCGCTGTCACCGCGCGGAATCCGAACAAGAAGATTGTGTTCGTCTACGATCCAATCTCGATCTCGGTGACATCCGATGGGGCTGATTTTGGTGACGGATCGTTCCCAGGGTTTGTCCATCAGAAGAAGAACACGACGGTAATGCGGACGACCGCGAACAGTTCAGGGCAGAGCGTAGATCCATCGGTAGCGGTGAATTTGAAGAAGAGCACTGTTAATTTAGACATAGATTTGGAGACGAAGGCTGGGGTTAAGTTGGGAGGATTGAAGACAAAGAAGATGAAGATTAGAGTTCACTGTGCGGGAATTCGAGTGGCCGTTCCAAAGGGGAAGAAGACGTCGTCGCCGTCGACGCCTGATGTCAGCTGCAAAGTTAAGCTTCGGTTCAAGATCTGGAAATGGACATTCTAGATCTAATTGATCGTTTATCGCCAAATCAGAGATCTGGATCGGAAGAGTGATTTGGTTCGCTTTGTAAAGTAAGTTGATCGCTGGATAGCTTTCTTTTTTAGGTTTATTTGGAATATTATTGTCCTTTTCTCCTACATTTGGTGTCAGATTCGATTTTTTTTTTTTTTTTCTAATGGGATGGAATTGTGCGGAGTTTGTTTGATGATGCTGAAATTTGATTACAGATATCGAATATATTTATATATTTTTTTGGTTATTTATTGTAAGGCAGAGCCGTAGAGGGGATGGGTTAGATGACATTATTATGGACTTGTATTAATTCCTTATAAATAATGATGTAATATTATGATTGATGTTATTTTTTTAATATTTTGTTACAATTATTGAAGATGCAAGTGGATGCTGTTTGATTGGTTTGGGCCCTAAATTGATAAAAGTTATATTCAAAATTTTAATATTTGAATATATTGTGAAATGAATATAATAATGAGTAATTAATATTATATTAATTTAAAAATAAATATTGTTGCGTGCTAGAATACAGGCGGCGATAGAATTAGAAAATTTATGTCTTAACGTTGTACGGATATTCAGCACACAAACCTGAGAGAACAGAAACACAATAACTTTTACGTGGAAATCCTGGAAAGGTAAAAAATCACGGGGCCACGTCGAGTTGAAAAAGTTATATTAGTGTTTTCTTGAGATACAAAAGGATGACTCGTCCTTAAAAGTTAGGACAATCAAATTACAATGAATCACTTCTAGATTGAAATTCAATTACAACATCGGGTAGAGTTCCGGCGTCAATTGGAGATCGAGCAGAATTCCGACGTTGTTCGAAAATTAAGCAGAATTCTGGCGTCGTTCGGAAATCGGGCAGAATTCCGGCGTCGTTTGGAAATCAGGCAGACTTTCGACGGCGGTGGTCTAGGAGTTTCTTTCCTCCTAATCTTCTTCTCTTCTTCTTGCTTGAGTCTCCCCCTCAAGAGAAATAAGGGATCTATTTATAGATTTTTAGAATGACATGATATTTAAATAGGTGAGAGATCAGGGGCAAATGTGGAGTGGTCGGATGGACAGCTGGTATTGAATCCCTTGATCGTGTACCATTTGTAAGACATTTGAAGGTCTTAATGATGTCGGAATTCGACAATCTTGGGCTCGTTCGAATCGTCTCATCGAGCCGCTCAATTCGACTATATGCACGTCATCTTTGAAAACCGTTTGGTAACTCAAATTGTGGTTCGAACTTTTCAACAATGCTTCGTGTGCTTTTTTATTTTTATTTTTTATTTATTTTTGTTATTTATTTATTTTTATTTTTTTTAATGCTTCGTGTGCTTGATTTGGACTCATTTGGGCTCTGATTGAGTCGAATTGGATGTCGTTGGGTTCGTATTTCTGAGACGCTCAGTTTGACTGTAAGTTTGCTGAAATCAGAGTTCATGTAATCTCAGATTTAATTTTTGAAGTTTCCGGCTTAATTTTGCCTCGAGATTCATGCCCGACCAAGATAATTTTTTGATGATATATCAAATATAATAAATATTTTTTTGCCATAATATCATGACATAAATTTGTTATTTTAATAATAATTTTTCAAATGTTTATAAATTAAGATTATTATTTAAATAGAGTAGTTTAGAATTTATTTGGGATGACTTCAATTTGTGTTTATTAAAGTTTGGTTTCTGATTGTTTTCTTTTTTCTTTTTAAATCAGTTTTTTATTATAAATTTTTTTATTTTTTATTAATGGAGTGTGTAATTACTAAACTACCCCTTGGTAAAACTGATAAAGCAGTGCACAGCTGCCATTCTCTAGCAGAGGACACAGAGATGTGGAGCAGTGAATATTCTCATGTTTCTCCTGTTTTGTGTAATGTGTATATGTTATTATTATCAGCTCCCCTTAAGCTAATGGATGGAACATCATCAGTTTGGTCCGTAAATGAGTAAGTTTATGTGTATGTAAGGATTTGTTGAAGATATCAGCAATCGGATCAATGGTAGAAACATGATGAGCTTAAACAAAATCATGAATGAAGTGATGATTGATCTCTATATTATTGGTATGGGCATGAAAATTTGGATTTGAAGCTAGCGACATGGACGAGATGTTGTCGCAGTATAGTGGTGTGGACTGAAGTTGTATGGAGAAATCATGACATAGTCGGTGAAGCCAAATGATGTATGCAGCTGCTGCAGCAAGAGAGCGGAACTCGGCTTCAGTTGAGGAGCGTGCAATGGTTTATTGTTTCTTTATTGACCAAAAGATAAGTGTTGTGCCTTGGAAAAGACAATAACCTATTGTTGACTTGCCATATGTAGCATCGCCAGCCCAATCGGAGTTGGCATAAATTGAGAGGGTAAGTTCGGTCTTGGGCAGAAACATACTAAGATTGATTGTGCATTTGAGGTAGTGAAGGATCTGTTTCAGTTGTTGAAAGTGAGAAAGTATTGGTTGATGCATATGTTGACAATGAAGGCGATGTCAGGCCTAATATTGGTGAGATACTGGAGTGAACCAGATATTTGCCTAAATAGAGTAGGTTGATTATAATCGGTCGTCCATTTGGAGGATAATGGGGTGGCAAGCGGATTGCTGGAGGACATAGTTGCAATATATAATAGAGATTCAATGTAACTATGTTGAGGCAAGTGATAGCCATTAGAATAGCGAATAAAGTCGATGCCGAAAAATCTGGAGAGAACACTAAGGTTCCTGATTTGAAATTGTTGTTGGCTGTTTTAAAAGAGTGGAAATGAAGTTGGAATGGAGTTGGGATTTTGCTAGGAGTTTGGGACTTTGGCCAGGGACCGAGGTCGAAATCCATCAGGGGCTGGTTTTAGATTAGGATTTTGGAGACTTTCTTTCAGTTTTGTGTTTTGGTTAGCTTTCTTAGGAGTTGATTTTAGTGTGAGTTGTACAACGTCCATTAGTGTGAACATTGTTTTGGATATAATTTGATTTGATTTGAATTCAATTTAATTGTATTAATTAATTGAATTGATAAAAAATATGAATTTTAATTAAAAATGTAGTTCATTCAATTTATTAGTTTAGATTTTAAGTGTATTTTAAAATTAGATATATGTTAAATTCAATTTGAGATTATTTAAGTTAAATTAATTTGCTCAATTAATTCATTCAATGTTTTGATGTGAAGTATTTGATCATTTAAGTTCCCTTGTTAAGTTTGTTAAATTTGAAATTATTTAATCGGTTTAGATCAAAGCTTCCAATTAATTAAAGTTTAATTTTAATTAATCTTATATCAATTGAAAATTAATTATTTAATGATTTAAAATTTTGTTAATTAAATGGTCTTAATTTATTAATCAATTAAAATTCTGTTATGCTCTATTTTTAATTGTTTTAAAATCTTAAGTAAATTTACAATCAATTAAAGCTTAGATAAAATTATGATTTAATTGTTTAGATTTCTAATTTGATTTTTTTTTAATTAAATGAATGATTAATTAAGGTCCCAATGTTAATCAACTAATTGAATTTAGGCATAAAAATGTTCAATTGAATGTCTCCAACTTTCTAAAAAAAAAAAAGTTTAAGTTCAGGATTTTCGAGAAAATTTCAACAGCCTCCCGGCGTCCCCTCCCCGGCGTCGCGAGGTAAAGAGTGGCTCGACTCGACCGGAGCGAATCAACAGCGAGGAGATTGGTCTTCAAAAGCTTTGATTGATGATGATTGGTTGCCGGAGATTGTCGAAGATTGCATTTTGGCTAAGTCTTGTATTTTTAAGGAAATTTTGGCAGCCTCCTGATGACCCCTCCCCTGCGATGAGAGGTAAGGAGTTGCTCGACTCGACTGGAGCGAATCAACGTGAGAAGATTGGGTCTTCAAAAAGTTCAACTTATTGCTGGTTGGCGGAGGAGGTCGCTGATTTGAAGATTACAGCCTCTCTCGCCTTATTGTTTATTTCTATAATAATAATAAAAGAGAAAGTAATAGATATAATTATTATTATTATAAACCTAGCTCCCTTCCTCACTCACTGTTCCAAGAAACGGAGAGAGAGGCCCTGTTTTTGGGGCAGAAAACCAGAGGTCGGTCGCTTGAGGGAGTCGAAGGTGAGATCAGAAGGTGGGGTTTGGCTTTGCTTGCAGAGGTTGAGGACAGATGGAAGGTTTATGAAAGCCTAGTTGGGCAGCGTCTATATGCGAGACGGACCAGGCTTAGGCTCCGATCTTGAACGGTAAAAGGAGGCCGGCGAAAGGCTTCAGATTCGCAAGGGAAGTCCGGTCGACGGCCACTGTTTTGTTGCTTGTATTCCTAGACAAAGAAAGCAATCTGGTTTGTTTCTTGTTTGAGACGGACCGAAGAAGCCGAGAAATTGGAACCGGTTAGCGTCTCCCCAAAAGCGTGTGTCCCAGCCCTCAGTTGTTTTGTTCTTTTTATGTATTGAAGCAGCAGTTATTCCCACGAAAGAGGGCCACTTCGACGACTTGGGTAAGACGACGTGCTTCAGTTATCTTCTTTGCTTATCTAATTTAGTTTAAATCAAATAGTGAAGCAAATGTCTGGATAAATGAATTATAATATCCATTATCATAACACGGCCACGTTCAATTCGTCAAGGGACGACACTGATCGATTTGCTTTCATGCAGTTCAAACTATATAATTAATTGTCTTTCCAGCAAATTCAGCAAATCGAAATATTGACTCCAACTTATTTGAGTCCAAATGCAATTACCCAATTGTTTATATCTAAATTGTTTGTTTAAACTATTGTTATCGCATGTATGAATTGCAGCTTGAACTTTCGTTGTTATATATAAAAAAACTGCTGCTTAAAGCTTAAATCTATTATTGTAATTACAAATTTATTTGCATAGATATCCAAATTTGCTTGAATTTACAGTTGCCGTTATAAACTGTAAATAAATTCATGGCTGCATCTTGACTATATAGGGCACCTTGTTGTGCATGCATGGTATTTGTCCTAATGCCTTAAAGACATTTGTATCTTTATGGATAACCACTGTTATCGTCCACTTCTTGGGCATAAGTGTTGCGACGAGCACAATTCATATATATTATGAATTTCATGCGAGAGAACAAGAAGGCAACCGAAAGAAGAAGAAGCAGAGAGCGTGAAACAGGAAGAAAGGAAAATCAATCTTATTCGATCGTAAACAGATACAGTTGTACATATTTATAGAGAGCAGAAGGTAAATGTGTAAATACAAGTAGTGAGATAAATACAGGTACTAATAGCCTCACTCAAATTAATCATTCGCTTGTCGAATGGTTAATTTGGCGTGAAGCTCATTAAACCGGTTGATTGGTAAAGCTTTCGTTAAAATGTCAGCTACTTGATTTGCAGAAGAGATGTGCTCAATGGCAATGTTGCCGTCCCCAATGTGTTGGCGAGTGAAGTGGTAATCTATTTCGATGTGTTTGGTCCGAGCGTAAAAGACCGGGTTCTTTGCTATTGCAATGGCCGAGATGTTGTCGCAGTAGATTGTGGTCGGCGAGTGCTGGGTGATACGGAGTTCATGTACAAGTCGGCGGAGCCATATGACTTCCAAAACGGCAGCAGACAGAGAGCGATATTCAGCTTCTGTGGTGGATTTTGCGACCGTTTGCTGCTTCTTTACCGTCCATGAGATCAGTGTGTTGCCGAGGAAGGAGCAGAATTCGGAGACGGACTTCCGATCTGTGTGGTCGGACGCCCAGTCAGCGTCCGTATAGGTGGTGAGTGTGAGTTGTCCCGGAGTGATCGGAAGACCATAAGAGATAGTTCCTTTGATATAACGGAGAAACCGTTTGAGGTATTGAAAGTTTCGATCGGATGGCTGATGCATGTGTTGACATATGTGATTGGTTGCAAAGGCGATGTCCGGCCTTGTAATGGAGAGGTATTGAAGAGATCGACCCGGCGAGTTTACGATAGAGAGCTGGATTGCGGAATGGTGGTGACTCAGTGAGGTGGTTTTTGGAGGTTGGCGTGACAGGTGTGGGAGCCGGCTTGCATTCTGTCATCCCAGCTTCTTGTAGGAGTTTGGTGGCAAAATACTCCTGGGTAAGGAAGTAGCCATTTGGGAGGTGCTGAACTTGGATGCCCAGGAAAAGTGAGATGTTTCCTAATTGCTTGAGGGAGTATTGAGTCCGAAGTTGATGAAGAATTTGTTGAATGGCCTCCGGATTGTTACTTGTGACAAGAATATAAATATAAATATTGTTTTGTTGAAAAAGAAGTAATGAGGGATCGGAGTGACTGAAGCCGAATCCTTTGGACTGGAGGAAGTCTGTGAGTTTCTGGAACCACTGTCGCGGAGCTTGCTTGGGTCCGTAAAGAGATTTTTGAAGTTTGCAGACGGCATCCGATTTTGTTTTGTCTTCGAATCCAGGTGGCTGGCGAATATAGATGTCGTCGTGTAGGTCGCCGTGTAAGAAGGCGTTTGAAACGTCAAGTTGTAAAATTGGCCACTGCCGTTGAAGAGCAAGTGTGAGAAGTACACGGATGGTGGTCATTTTTGCAACGGGACTGAATGTCCCGTTGAAGTTTATGCCAAATTCTTGATCATATCCTAGTGCGACGAGCCGAGCTTTGTAACGATCGACCTGGCCAGAAGGAAGAGTTTTGATTTTGTATAAGGTTTAAGCCAAGGAAAATAGAGACAACCGAAGATGCGGAGGTGAGTGTAGATCGGTGCTTGGCCGTGGAGACGTTTTGAAGACCAAGAGATTGCGGATAGGTGCGAATTGCCGTTTTGAAGGAGCTGTAGGTGTTCGGCAGTCCTTGAAGGATGTAGTGGATGATGTCGTCTGGTTCGATCTTTGATCCGGCAGCGGCGATATTGTCGACAATGGATTTAATTTGCGTTAGGTACTGTGGTATGGTGAGATCCTTGAGACGAACGTTGTGATGTTCGTTCTTTAGCTGGATAACGCGAGAACGACAGGTAGGTTGTAGACGTCTTTCAAGAATTTGCCAGGCTTCGTGGGAGGTGTTGGAGGTAAGAATGTAGGGTAAGATTTGTTGAGAAATGGTGGAAAAGAGAGCTGAGAGGAGGTTGCTGTCTTCAAGATGCCAGCAAGCGTAGTCGGCAGATTGCTCGTCGGGAGGGGTGATGGTTCCGGTGAGGTAACCAGCATACCCATTGGCGGTAAATTGCTGTAGCAATTGTGTACGCCATATGGCATAGTTGTCCGGCGTAAGTTGATGAGGAGCGAGATTCTTGATGTTGTTGAGGAGAAATTTCAGTGCCGGAGGAATTCCGATGTGAGGAACAGCGGTGTTGGTGATGTTGGTGGCGGAAGAAGAGGAAGATGTAGGAGGAAGAGAGTTGTTCTGTTCTTGTTCTACCATACCTTTGATACCATGCGAGAGAACAAGAAGGAAACCGAAAGAAGAAGAAGCAGAGAGCATGAAACAGGAAGAAAGGAAAATCAATCTTATTCGATCGTAAACAGATACAGTTGTACATATTTATAGAGAGCAGAAGGTAAATGTGTAAATACAAGTAGTGAGATAAATACAGGTACTAATATTTCAAACTTGACATCTTTAAGGACCCTGAAGAGGCTTACAAATCTTCTGCTGAAAGAAAATTGCCATGTAGCATCTTACTTTCACCTAACTTCTACTGAATAATAATGAATTACGAATTTACTCAAATGAGGCCTATGTATATATATATATGGTAGTAGACCTCATATAACAGCCAAAATCCTTGCTTCTATTTTTTTTTTTTTTTTTCCTTTTTTTTTTTGGATTGGCACTATGGCCTTTCATAGTTAAGTTCATCTAGCAGTGAATAACAAGCTTGTTCACCATATCTAGACATAGCTGATTATGAGAACATCTACCACTTCATTACTCGTTGCATTATTTATCACGCGTGAAAGAAATGAGAGGCACTTATAAAATTTTCTTTTTTTAAAACAGTTTCAAAGTTGAATATTCCCTCTGTTTGCCTCATTCTCTTCTTAACACATCACAACTGTTAGATTTTATTTCAACAGACAGGTGATCATAAGATGGCGTGGTGGAAGAGGATGATTAGTAGGTAAATTGGTTGGTCAAGTAGAAGAGGATGTATAAATAGACGTATTATGTGAAGAGGAAGAAGTAGATGATAAAGTAGGAGATGAGGTTGGTTTGAGTAATGTGGTAGAGGAAGAATTTGTTTGAGAAGTTTCAATTGAGGGTGTGAGATGGGGTGGAAATGGTGGAAGAGCAGTTTGGGGAATTGGAGAGGAATATGGATATCCGAAGTTTGAGTAGAAGATTCATGAAACTGGACATGTCTGGATATAATGACTTGGTTTGTGAGTGGATTGAAGCATATGTATCCTTTTTTAAGGGGAGGCGTAGCCTAAGAATATATAAGCGACTGAATGTGGTGCTAGTTTGTGGGAGGCATCTGAATGGAGCTAGGGATAACAACGACAACGAAATCTTCGAAGATGTAAGTAGTTTGGTGGAGCCTTGTAGAGTAGCTGATAGGGAGAAGTTGAGAAAGTGGTTGGTGAAGGTAGACAATTAATTAGATAGACAACGGTTAGGATGGCATCGACCCAAAATGTCGAGGAGAGATTAGAGTCGATTAGAAGTGTTCGAACAATATCGAGAAGATGGTGGTGTTTGCGTTTGACAACACCATTTTTTTGAGGTGTATGTGGGCAAATGTATATTGATGGTGAATACCATTTTTTAAGAGGAAAATGCGAAAATTATTATTGAGAAACCCTCCATCACCATCGGTGCGAAAAGTTCGTATGGGTTGATTTAACTAGTTTTCAATTAGATGTTTGAAGCTAATGAATGTTGAAGCTACTTTAGATTTTAATTTAAGGGGATAAAGCCATGAATAATGTAAGTAGTCATCAATTAAAAGCAAATAATATAAAAAACTAGCACGAGAGATAATTGGGGAAGGACCCCAAACATCATCATATATTAATTCAAGTGGAGATTTAGATACACGAGTAGAGCTAGTAAATGGTAACCTGTAACTTTTAGCTAGCGCACAGGAATTACAAAATTTGTAAATTGAGGAAATGTTTAAGCTAGGTGTTTGATTAAAAAGTTTTTTTTGAAAAAGATTCATTTTCCTTGGAAATGTTTAATTTCTAAAATTACAGTTTTGAAATTGAACATGTCATTATGAATGATATATCACCTCAGGAGGCGAACATATCATTCCCTAATGGGTTCAAATTTCAAAACTTTGAATTCATTCTAATTATCGTAGTCAAACTCAGAAAAGAATCACATATGATCCCGGAGGGTCAAAATGAAATTTGATCGAGTGTTTGACTATAATAATTCAAATGAGAAATCATTAATTTTATAATCAAAATTACAATAGTAATTGATATATCTCGCCAAGGAAAGAAGATATCAATCACTATTGATCATTTGAGAATGAGTAATGAACAACAACAACAACAACAACAACATCAAGCCTTTATCCCACTACGTGGGGTCGGCTACATGAATCCTTTTTCTCCATTGTGTCCTATTAAAAGTCAAATTCTTGTTTAAATCTAATAAATAAAGGTCATTCCTAATATTTTCTAACCTAGTCTTTTTAGGTCTACGTCCACCTTTCTTAACATAAGTCAAATCTAATTCCTCCACTCTCCTAACCGGGTCATGGGAAGGCCGCCGTTTTATGTGACCAAACCATCTAAGGCGACTCTCTCTAATCTTATCTTCTATTGGAGCAACTCCAACCTTTTCACTTATATGCTCATTTCGTATCCTATCTCTAAGGGTAAAGCCACTCATCCACCTGAGCATTCTCATCTCTGCCACACTTAACTTAGTATTATGCTTCTCTTTTAATGA